TGTGTGTGTGTGTGTGTGTGTGTGTGTGTGTGTGTGTGTGTGTGTGTTCTCCAGGCTGTATCTGAGGAACAACAGCCTGGGCTGAAGGGCAGAAAGGGAAAGGAAGAGAAGTCAAAGGGGAAGACCAAGGTGAGGGAGTATTGGCAGGAGGAGGTGCTGGGTCTCAGGAATTAGAACATTTCATCAGATCCGTTGTTTTTTCCCTGTTAGCCTCAAAATAAATTTGCTGCTCTGGACAATGAAGAGGAGGAGGATGAAGAAGAAGAAATAACAAAACAAAAGGAGCCACCCAGACAAGGGAGGGAGAAGACCATGAAGGCAGAGCAGGTGTGTATTTTGGTGTTGGGGGAAGGAAGATTGGCTGAGGGACTGGCCTTCTGTGGCTCTTGGTTGGGGGAGGGGAGCAGGATCTGGGGGTGGCATTACTACCCAGAGCAGGAATTAGCAGGCTTTTGTAAAGGGCCACATAGTAAATATTTTTGGTTTTGTGGACCACATATAATCTCTGATGCATATGCCTGTTTTTTAAAAAAATTCTTTGAAAATGTAAAACCATTCTTAGCGCTTGGGCCGTATAAAAATAGGCATCAGGTGAGATTTGGCCCACAATCCATTTAGCTCCTGATTCAGAGAGGAAGGGACCCTGGTGGTAGCCTCAGATGATCTGGGTTCTGGCTCTGCCACTCACCACCTGTGTGACCTTTCCACCTTCTCAGGGCACAGTTATCTGTATGATCTAGTGATCTCTGCAGTCCCTCCACCTCTAGAACTTTCTAATTCTGGATTCTGTTAGATTTCTTAGTGCTGTAAGGGTTTCTGGACGTTTTCTTTGCATGTTAACATGTAAGCCACAGAAACTCATTTGATACATGAGTAAAAGCTGTTTCATTTATTTCCTCCCCAGTGGTATGGGCAGTTTTGTTTGTAGGTGGGTAGAACTGTTATACTTTGTACATACACATTCATACTATTTGTCTTCTGTCATTCCTGACACAGAAGTGGGTGAAGGACTCCAGGGAGCCCAGGAGTGTGTGTGAGAGAGTGACAGGACCCACCAAGAAATTTCAGGACTCTGGGAAAGGAACGAGCTAACTGTGGGGCTGGGTGAATGACATGAAATCTGAGTTCTAGAAGGGGTCTCTTGTTTTTCATCATCTCGTTCTCACAGGGTTCAGAGGAAGAAGGAGAAGAGGAGGAAGAAGAAGGGGAGTCTAAGACTGATGATCCTTATGGGCACCTTAGCAAAAAGGAGAAGAAAAAGCTAAAGAAACAAGTAAGATCTCGGTCAGAATTAGGAGCGTTTGACTTTTTTATTTTTTTATTATTTATTTATTTATTTATTTAAATTTTTTTTTTTTAACATTTACTTATTTTTGAGACAGAGAGCATGAACAGGGGAGGGTCAGAGAAAGAGGGAGACACAGAATCTGAAACAGGCTCCAGCCTCTGAGCTGTCAGCACAGAGCCCGACGCGGGGCTCGAACCCACAGACTGAGATCATGACCTGAACCGAAGTCGGACACTCAACCGACTGAGCCACCCAGGCGCCCCGCGTTTGACTTTTTTAATATTTCAGTTGGACTCCTGGCTGGCTCAGTAGGTGGAGCATGCAACTCTTGATCGAGTTCCAGCCCCACATTGGGTGTAGAGATTACATAAAATCTTTAAAAAAAAATTTTTTTTTAAACTAGGGGACATCTGAATTGGGGCAAAAGGGAGCTTTTGACGTTATTGCAAGAACAACAGTTGGAATAAAGAAACAGATGTATTTTGTGGACCTTTTTTTGGTGTCTGATGACATGTGGCTGTGTTGTGACGGGTAACTGGCAGACAGTGGCCTCATATGTGGGTTTTCCTTCTTTCTCAGATGGAGTATGAGCGCCAGGTGGCTTCATTAAAAGCAGCCAATGCTGCTGAAAATGATTTCTCCGTGTCCCAAGCAGAGGTGTCCTCCCGCCAAGCCATGTTAGAAAATGCATCTGACATTAAGGTAAGGTCTGAGAGGCTCCCTCCCAACCAGTTTGCTCAAGGAAGTGCCACCTTTCCCTGAGTGGCCATGGCAGCCGAGGAAGCCAGGTGTGAGTGGTATATTGGAAGAAAGCTTGGAGGTGTTTTCCATACCTTGACTTCTGCCAGCTTCGGTGAGAAGATAGGAAAACCAACACAACTAGAGGGGTCCACCCTTGGGGGGCAGGAAGGGTGGGATGGGCTGGACTCATTTAGAATTTGGGAGACTCCCCTTCAACGCAGTGGACAGGAAGTGGACCAGCATGGTGAAGAGGGTCATGCTGGAGCTATCTGTTTTGTCAGAGGCTTCCCAGCAGGGAGAAAGTTGTCTGAAAGAGGGGGGTTCTCATGTGCTTTTCTTTCTTCTGCCACTGCTTCCCTGACAACTGCAGCTGGAGAAGTTCAGCATCTCGGCCCACGGCAAGGAGTTATTTGTCAACGCAGACTTGTACATCGTAGCTGGCCGCCGCTATGGGCTAGTGGGACCCAACGGGTGAGGAGAAGGGCTGGAGCTATAAAAGGGAAGGGGCTGGAAAAAAAAAGGTTTTTCAGGGATGGCCTGGTCTTAATAGTTCTCGTTCCCCAGCAAGGGCAAGACTACTCTCCTCAAGCACATTGCCAACCGGGCCTTGAGCATACCTCCCAACATTGACGTGCTGCTGTGTGAGCAGGGTGAGGCCAGTGGTGGGATGGGCCTGAGGGGTGGGCAGTTGGGGTAGAAGAGTCAACCAAGAACAGAAGAAATTGTGGTTATGGAGTGGGAAAGGTTCTAAAGTAAGATTGGGGACTGGAAGATGGATGCTAAGGAAAAACTAGAGAAAATTTCTTTGGAATAAGTACAAAGAATTGGGCAAGGTCAGACAAACCTGAAATTGAGCTGAAGAAAAGAAGGAATGGGAGACTTGGCCCTCAGGGCAACTGGCCTTTTCTCCCCTGACCCCCCAGAGGTGGTAGCAGATGAGACGCCAGCTGTGCAGGCTGTTCTTCGGGCCGACACCAAGCGATTGAAACTGTTGGAAGAGGAGCGACGGCTCCAGGGGCAGCTGGAGCAGGGAGATGATGCAGCTGCTGAGAGGCTAGAGAAGGTAGAGGAGATGGCGCAGGGGACATGGGCTAAGAGTTGCGGGTTCCTGGAACCTTTGGACATGTGTCCTCTTCTCCCTCCTCCAGGTATATGAGGAATTGCGGGCGACTGGGGCAGCAGCTGCAGAGGCCAAAGCCCGGCGGATCCTGGCTGGTCTGGGCTTTGACCCTGAAATGCAGAATCGGCCCACACAGAAGTTCTCTGGGGGCTGGCGCATGCGTGTCTCCCTGGCCAGGTGGGCCACCCACCTCCTTGCCTTTCCCCTTTGCAGCATCAATCCACGCATGGGCAGGGGTGGCGGGAGGCGGGAGGCGGGGCTTTCTCTTCTTCCTGTTCTTCTAAGGCCAGTAGGGAGTTTCAAGTCTTCCTGCTCCTTCCTGTATTGTCTGCATTGCCAGACTCAAGATCTTTCCTCTTGGGGGCATAATCTTTTCAACATCTCCTGCTCTCTGAGGAGAGATATGGAAGGAGTGTTCATGGTCTCACCTGCCAGAGGCTTCTGTGGAGTTCTCTGAGCGAGCATCTTCCTACCCCTGACCCTACATTCTGGTGCCCCACCTTCTAGGGCATTGTTCATGGAGCCCACGCTGCTGATGTTGGATGAACCTACCAACCACCTGGACCTCAATGCTGTCATCTGGCTCAATAAGTGCGTCACCTTTGACTACAGTCTTTGCGTCATTGGTTGTCATTCTGTCCTTGTCTCCTCTAGCTGTTTACACTCTGTCCTTGACAGCACTGTATCCAGCCCCTTTCTCTTTTCCTCCCTGTTTTCATTGTCAGTCTGTTTCCCTGACTTAACCCTAAACTGACCATTGTGACCTGTCCACACTCTTCTCTAAAATCCAGCTACCTCCAGGGCTGGCGGAAGACATTGCTCATCGTTTCCCATGACCAGGGCTTTCTGGATGATGTCTGCACCGATATTATTCATCTCGATGCCCAGCGGCTCCATTACTATCGGGGCAATTACAGTAAGGATCATTTGTTGGGGGGAGGAAAGAGACGAGGCCTTGGAGGGAGGACCCATAGGGATGCAATGATTAGCTAAATCTTAAAAGAGTCTAGACAGAGATGCCCAACTCTGTCCTCACCATTTCTGGTTGTCCCTCTGCTGGGGAGGAGGGCAACTGTTGTTGCCCATCCTCCTTTTCTGCCTCAGTGACCTTCAAGAAGATGTATCAGCAGAAGCAGAAAGAACTGCTGAAGCAGTATGAGAAGCAGGAGAAGAAGCTGAAGGAGCTAAAGGCAGGTGGCAAGTCCACCAAGCAGGCGGTAAGCACCTGGGGGGCTTTTCTCTCAATATGGAGAAAGAGGGAACTCTGTGACACTGCTCTCCATTTCAGGGACTGCTGTGAAGGGTGTGAATTTCTCCTTTTCCCCTTCCTCTCCAGGAAAAGCAAACAAAGGAAGCCCTGACTCGAAAGCAGCAGAAATGCCGGCGGAAAAACCAAGATGAGGAATCACAAGAGGCCCCCGAGCTCCTGAAGCGCCCCAAGGAGTACACTGTGCGCTTTACTTTCCCTAATCCCCCACCGCTCAGCCCTCCTGTGCTGGGTCTGCATGGTGAGCAGCTGCAGACCCCACCAACGCAGGGCGGAAGTGTGTGCACCCCACGTCTTCCACCCAGCGTGGGATCCATTCCTTTTCTCCAAGGCCAGGAAAGGACTTTAGGACACCTTCAGAGTGATTCCGAAAAGAAAGTATATCACTTCTTTTCCTGATTCTCAGGTGTGACGTTTGGCTATGAGGGGCAGAAACCACTCTTTAAGAACCTGGATTTTGGCATTGACATGGATTCAAGGAGTGAGTTGGTGTCAGGTGGCTTGGGGACGTGAAGCAGGGCTACAGGGACAGTTTCTGAGGACCTCTTTGACCACCTGTCTTCCTCCTTGCAGTCTGCATCGTGGGCCCTAACGGTGTGGGGAAGAGCACCCTGCTTCTGTTGTTGACGGGCAAGCTGACACCAGTAAGTCCTGGTGCCAGGACCAGAGAGCATGACGAGTGTGAAAAGGCAGCTGTTCACCAAATGCTAGAATCAAGGAGCCCCCTCTGTGCTGGAGATTTAAATACAGAATTCATCGTAGATGATTCCTTTTCCTCAGAGGTGCTAGAGAGGAGAACACTGTAGATCAGGGGAGAGAGCCAGCAGAAGTGGGGTTGGACTGGCGGCACCACTCCCCCATGTGTGTTTTGGTTATAGAATAACTAGAAATTGCATGAGTCAGGGACACCTGGGTGACTCATCCGGTTAAGCTTCTGACTCTTGATCTCCGCTCAGGTTATAATCTCACGGTTCCTGGGATCGAGCCCCATGTTGGGCTCTGTACTGACAGCAGGGAACCTGCTTGGGATTCTCTCTCCCTCTCTGCCCTCTCCCTCTCTCTCAAAAATAAAAAACTTAAGAAAAAAAGAAATTGCAGGAGTCAGAAAAGTCTGGAGATAACCAGTATTAATTTAGATGGATTACTTTCTCTTTTTCTTCTCTGCAAATGTGCATATAATTTTTTTTTAACAAAAGTGGGTTCTCAGATGAATTGTTTCATAGCCAGTTCTCAGATAATACACATCAAGTATTTTTCCATGCCAATAATTACCTGTGTACATTCGTTTCTTGTGGATTTATAGTTTTTGATCACAGTCGTTTAGATTTTTTTCTGGTTTTTCACTGAAGGTCAATCCTATAGTAAACTTTTTTTTTTTTTTTTTTTTTTTGAGAGGGTGCAAGTGAGCAAGGGGCAGAGAGAGTGAAAGAGAAAGAGAATCCCACTGGCAGATAGAGGGAGAGAGAGAGAAGGTGGGGCTCATCCAAAGGGGGGCTTGAGCTCACCTGATGCGGGACTCAAACTCCTGTATCGTGACACCATGACCTGAACCGAAGTCAGGTGTTTAACCAACTGAGCCACCCAAGTGCTCCAGTAAATATTATTGTACATGTTCATGACTGTAGGTTTTTTTTTTTAGGATAAACTTCCTAGAATTGTTTTTAGGATTTACAACATACTGCTATACAGTGCTTTTGATTGGTTGAAACCATCTTTACTCCCTCCAGGAAAATGTTGAGAAGGGCCCATTTCTTCATACACCTCAAGTTATTTTTTCTTAGATCCTCTCACAGTCTCTTAACTCCCATATGAGGCAGAACCCTGAAAAAGTTGCCATTGGTGGATCTTGCTGGGTGGGAAGGGGGTGTTTGTTGGTGTGGTCAGTCCCCTCTTGGTTCTGAATCTGCTTTTTGTGTCCCCTCCTTTATTGTCATCTCACTCCCCTTTGCCCTGTACTCTTGTCATTTCCTGGATGTGCCTTTGTCACATTAGGGAGGACATCCGCGTTCCCCTTCTTGCATGGACTGATTCCCAGCCCAATTCTGGTATTTGTCTCCCCTTAAGAAAAGTGACGATGTGGAGGGGCAGCATCTTCCTCTCCATTCCCTTATCTTCCCACTTGCTTTTTCCTTGCAGACTCATGGAGAAATGAGAAAGAACCACCGGTTGGTAAGTTGGCTTTGGGAATTAGGGAGGAAGAGCCTGATAGAGGAAGTATGATTTTTACAGACCGCCTTCCTCTCTTGGGCAGAAAATTGGCTTCTTCAACCAGCAGTATGCAGAACAGCTGCGCATGGAGGAAACACCCACTGAATATCTGCAGCGGGGCTTCAACCTGCCCTACCAGGATGCCCGGAAGTGCCTAGGCCGCTTTGGCCTTGAGAGTCATGCCCACACCATCCAGATCTGCAAACTCTCTGGTACCACTGTAGGGGGCTAGGGAAGGTGTCCTCCTCAATTTTCACACCTCCAGACTGTACCTAGAGTCAGAAAAGAACAGCTAGGACTTGGGGAATCTCTGCACACACACATCTTCAGAGTTTATCTTCAGAAACATAAGGCAGTGAAGTGTGATGGCCCTCTTTTTCCTTTGCTACAGGTGGGCAAAAAGCCCGAGTTGTGTTTGCTGAGCTGGTTTGTCGGGAACCCGATGTCCTCATCTTGGTGAGTGAGCTGGACTATGGGAGGGGGTAAAGGTGACAGTAATGAAAAGAATTGTAACACTTGGTCATGGAATGTCTCTTCCATAGGATGAACCCACCAATAACTTGGACATTGAGTCTATTGATGCTCTTGGGGAAGCCATCAATGAATACAAGGGTGGTAAGTCAGCTCAGGGTGCACCCTCCTCCTTTCCTGGTTCTCATTTGTCTCATTTGTTCTTCACGTTCTCATTTGTCTTTGCCTTCTTTGTCCCTACTCTCCCTGCTCACATCTTTTTTTAAAGCTGTGATCGTCGTCAGCCATGATGCCCGACTCATCACCGAAACCAACTGCCAGCTGTGGGTGGTGGAGGAGCAGAGTGTAAGCCAGATCGATGGTGACTTTGAGGACTACAAGCGGGAGGTATTGGAGGCTCTGGGTGAAGTCATGGTCATCAGACCCCGAGAGTGAGTTTTCCTTCCTGGAAGTCTCCTGAAAGACAAGCTTGTGTGGCCTAGAAGTCCCCTGTTGTCTCCCTTTCTCTGCTTGGAAGCCTGCCTCTGGTCTGCAGCTGACCCAGCAACTACTCAGGCACAGGAAGGCAGAGCATGGTCTTGATGTGACCAGGGTACCACTTTGGTTCCTTTTCTCTGAAAAACTAGCCTGTTACAGTTTTCTTCAGATAACTGAGCTGGCCTTATCCTTGACATTCCTCCATATACACAGAGATGACCTTCATTGTTGTGGGCTCCATCTAGCCAAACTTATGTGGCCAGTTGTCTAGAGACTTTCATCACCAAGAACCCTGCCTGTGGTCCACCAGAAAGCTTCAGGGCTATCTGGTCCCCTGGTCTTTGAGTGGTGCTGTTCTTTTCTGGTGGATTTAATGCTGACTTACTGATACAGTTACTGCAGCTCAGTGCTGGAGGCAAGTTGTGAGGCCTAGGCTGTTACCCAGCCTAGGGCTTGGTGCCTGCAGTCTTTTTGTAGTTGGGGACTTGGGGGCAAGAAAATTACCCCTCAACTTGAATCTCCCTTTACAAGGGGAGGAAATAAAGGAAAGTTGTTGTTGCCGTCCTGTCGCTGTTTGGAGATTCATGGGCATTGGGACTATTTTTAGTTTTGATTCACTTTATTGCTAGCAGCATTCAGTATCCATGCTTCCCCACTAATACAGATGGATCTAATTTGTAGTCTTATGCATTTTAGATGGTGCTTGCTGTTTGAGGATTCTCCAACCCTTCAGATAGGAACAGAAAGGGGTTCATCCCTTCCATCTGGGACTCTTGGGCCTCCCATTGTCCAAGCTTTGCTCTGTGGTCAGAGCCCCACAGTACTGATACTCTGAAAAGTTCTTAAGTAACTGACATCACATACAGCACTGTGGAGTGTACAAAAAGGAAAAGACAAGGTCTGCCTGCATCAATAGTTTAGCTACAGAAGACTTTAGAAAATGAGACATGAGTGTAAAGGTGATTTGGTTAATTGCCAAATGTGTGTCCTCTAGATGCTATAAGTTGCCACGTGCTCATAGAAGGGAAAGATGATCCAGAACTTGATTATTTGATAGACAGGATCACTTCAGGATGGGCCTCTTGAAAAATAAAAAGAATTTGAATAATGAGAAAATAGGGAGTCATTTTTGGAATGTAGGAAAAGAGAGATCTCAGGCCTGGAAAGAAGAAAAAACTATTTGGGAGTTAATGAGAAAGCGTAGCTGGTGTGGCCATTTTTCTTACTATTATATTGGAGAGGTAGATTTGGAAAGTAACCAGTGGCAGGTGGTTGGTGACTTTAGGTGGTGATGGGTGAGGTCGACTATAGAAGTATATGGAATGGAATCCATAACTTGTGGGTGAGGTAACTAAATGCTGAACTAGGGTAGGGGAGGCATGGGAAGGAAAGGACGGGAGAGGTGTGTGGGAGTTGGGGAGAAAGAAGAGAATGATGTATCCAGTTCCAGAGGGAATATGAGGAGCTGTTTGGTTAAGTCTGACAGCTTGGATATCTATTTTGGGGAAACTATTTTTTGACCAAGTGAATAAGTAATAGCCTGAGGTACAGATTTTGTAGTGAAGTGTAGTTTTGGTGTGGAAATAGTGTTGTTAGGGAACATCTCAAATTAGAAAGGAACTACTCCCTTATGGAATTTGAGGGGAAAAAATCAGGGTCTTAAACCAAGCACCTGAGTAAGATGTTTTATGTAAAGTAATTTCCACAATTATGTGAAGTAAATCTGTCATAGAACAGTGGGAGCCAGGTTTCAAGTCTACTTACTAAGAGTATGATGTTGGACAGGCTACTTAGCCTCTTGGTACTGGTTTTCTCATCTGTAAAAAGAAGATTGAAAGTGTGTACCTAGGGACACCTGGGTGGCTCAGTCTTAACCGACTGACTCTTGATTTTGGCTCAGGTCACCATCTCATGGTTTGTGAGATGGAGCCCCGCATCAGGCTCTGTGCTGACAGTACGGAACCTGCTTGGGTCCCTCTCTCTCCCTCTCTCACTATGCCCCTCCCCTGCTTGTGCACTCTCAAAATAAATGAATAAACTTAAAAAAAAAAAGTAGCTACCTTGTAGGATTATTAAGGGATTAGGCAATTTTCTAAAGTGTTTTAAATTTTTTTGTTAGATGTGTTTCACGTTACACTCCACTTTTCAGTTCACTGGTCTAGATGAGATGATGCATAAAATATATAGGAATGTTATTTATAAAGTGAATACCAAAATTTTGCGTTTCAAGTTTTTTATCAACTTCACTACAAGTACTTTATGCTTCAAAACAGCTTCCATACATGGACACAAATTGTACTTTTTCCTTCAATATACATACTTAGTAATGGAGTTATTAATGCACTTAAATGTGGGCAAAAAAATACAATGCAAAAAGAACAAAAAATATGGTTTATATGGTACAGTATGTATGGATAACCCAAAGCCTGGAAAATGGAATTTTGTTAACAAATATTCTTACTCATAGACAACTTTTATTATCTATGTCATGCACTAATGTATATAATAACTACCATAGAAATGGTTTTGAAAAGCAGAGATTCTTCTGCATACCTTCCTAATGAAACAGAGGACACTGACCTGACCACAACCATCCGCCCTCAACAGAGATGGTTGTTGCTGATATGATGGCTCTTGTTTAGCTGACTCCAGTGTCCTGGATATTTTCCCTCTTGTGTAAAATGTGGACAGGGTAACCAAAGCGTGAGTCCTGGAAGAGCATGAAAGCCAGGATAGCACTGTGTTTTAGGAACACACAAAGAGGTTTCAGGAAATAGTGCCAGTACACTACAGTAAGAAACTACAATAAGAAAAGTGAAAACCAGGATTGAGCCTTGTGGCCATACAGCATGGGAGTATCCAAAGTTGCCATTGTGTGGCCAGTGCTAAATGCAACAACTGGGACACTGAACTGGCTGTTCTGGGTAGTGATGTTCAAAGTGTCCCAGACCAGCAGCATGAGCATCGCTTGGGATTCTGTTAGTGCAAGGATAGGAACTCTGCTGCCTTTGGAGCTAGGATAGAAAGGGTAGGGGGTGGGCTTTAAATCCAGTGAATAAGAAAGACTTCTCAGGAATAACATTAAAGCCAAGGCCTGAAGGTGGTGAAGGAACTAGGTGAGTGGAAAAGAAGAGCCCTCAGGGAAGAAACCATAGTGTTTCAGGGACCCTGGAGCCAGAAGAGCTTGACATAGACAAGATAGGCAGCTTGAAATAGAGCAGGGGCCAGACACTCAGAGCCTGTAAGCCTTGTTGGTGAGTTGGGATACTGTTTGAGAAGCAATGGGAGGCCATTCTCACAGTGGTGAGGATTTATTATTTTTAATGTGTATTTGTTTTTGAAAGAGTGGGAGGGGCAGAGAGGGAGAACACCCAAGCAGGCTCTGCACTGTCCGCACAGCCCAATGTGGGGCCCCATCTCATGAACCAGGAGATCATGACCTGAGCCAAAATCAAGAGTCCGACACAACCATTTGAGCTACCCAGGTGCCCGTGTTTTGATTTTTACAAAATTGTTCTGGCTGCTGGGTGAATAGTTGAGTGGGTAGAGGAGATGCTGAGAGAGGGTTAGATACTGCCTTGAAAACTGATACCCTTCTTCCTCTGGGAAAGGAAGATCACATAGGCTCAGATATTTTCAGGTGAAGAGGAAGTGGTGCTCACACTGGATGGATCTCATTCAGGAGCTCGGGTGCCAATCAAGAGGAATTGTCAAGTAGCAGTAAGTGTTGAGTTGGTGTCAAGATGGTAGGATTTTGTGTTTTTTGCAACATTAGGTTTACTGCCCAGGAGCAGGAATGGGGAAACTAGAACAATGATGATCCAGAATTGGAGATGGAACTGGTGTGCTTTGGGTGGAGTTGACAGAGAATGTCTAAAGTTGAAAGGGTATTTCAGGGGCAGGGGGAATGGAAGCAGAAAGGAAGAACAGACCAGCTGAAATGGAGAGAAGTGCCTGCAGGGGAATTGGTGAAGGCATGGAAATGGGTCGCTTTGGATTTCCATGGAGAATTTGAAAGAAAAATGGCTGAACTAAATTTTAAATTAACGTAGAAAAAACTTTGAGCTCTAAAAGTTCTTGTGGCTTGATGCCAGAGATAGGGAAGCACAAGCCAGAGAATGGCCCACTAGATTTTTCCACTTGAGCTGGTACTACATTTTTTTTTTCAACGTTAAAAATTTTTTAAGTAATCTCTGCCCCCAATGTAGGGCTCCAGCACACACCCCTAAGCTCCAGAGTTGCACACTCCACTGGCCAAGCCAGCCATGCACCCCTACTTCATTCATACTTTATTTTTTTTTAATCTTTTTTTTTTTTACCTCATATTTTAACCTCTTTTTAGGTGCTTTTCTCAGGTCCCAAGTGCACAGAGCTTGTATACGCTGACTGGGCACAACCCCTCTGAGGACTCAGCAAAGAGAAGATAAAATTAGCCCCATTGGCCTTGCTAAATGTAAATGACACCTGTGAAATTTAGGTTATGCCCTCGTGTGACCAATCCTGTGTTCTAGGGCAGTGTCTTTTCAGTGTTTTCCAGATCAGCATCAGCAACACGTGGGAACTTGTTAGAAATGCAAAATCTCCAGATCCATCCCAGAACTACTCAAATTAGAAAATTTGCTGGACCCCATTCCTCATGTCTTTTAATAAGCCCCTCAGTTGATTCTGATGAACACTAAAAGGTTGAAAACTGTTCCTTTTTTAAAAAAAATTTTTTTAAGTAATCTCTGTGCCCAATGTGGGGCTCAAACAACCCCGAGATCAAGTTGCATGCTGTACTGAGCCAGCCAGGTGCCCCAAAACGAGCTGCTTTCTCTGAAATCTCTATGCCCAACATGGGGCTCAAACTCATGACCTAGAGATCCAGAGCCACATGCTCTACTGACTGAGCCAGCTAGGTGCTCCTGAAGACCACTGTTCTTAACCCATGCCCCAATATCCCCACCTTCCTCCTCAAA